AGAGAGTGTGAGTGAGTGAGTGAGTGAGTGTGAGTGAGTGAGTGAGTGAGTGAGTGAGTGAGTGAGTGAGTGAGTGAGTGAGTGAGTGAGTGAGTGAGTGAGTGAGTGTGAGTGTATATATATATGCAAAACGTATTACAGCACATAGTAGAGGATGTCACATGCCGGCGGTAAACATACCTGACACTGGGGCAACCGGGTCTGACACACCAGGTAGGTCTGAACTCATGTCAGTATCCATAGGCATTGCAGCGGTATCGTCGTAGGTAGGCAGAGTGTGGGCGGGCGCAGCGCTTGTGTAGGTAGACGCATGGGGCGGTGACAGCCCTGGAAGCCCTGGCAGCGACGGGAGAGTGGCCAGCGAGTTGGTCGGCTGCTTTGCCTGTGGCCGGAGATGTGTGTAGGTAAAATAATAGGTAAAATAATAACTTGTGATTAAATGACACTTAACGTTGTTAACGTTGTTCAGATGCACTAGGCGATAGGTGTAGTTCAGTGGTGCGGGTACTCTAGCAATCAACTAGCATGGGCGGCTGTAGTAGCCATGAATGAGATATCATGTGGCCACAGCTACGCCCAGCCAGCCCTCGGTTATGACTGGCGATTATTCTGTCGGATAATCGGTACACGCCGATGCCAATGTACAGGCATGGTTACAAATACAGGGCAGTTTCCTAGTGACAGACATGGTTACAAACACAGGGCAGTTCCCTTGTGAGCACACTAGGCCTTTACATGACCTTCTCCCCAGTGCGTTTCCCCCCCGCGAATATAAGTACATGAATCTGTGCAGTCTCCAATTACATAAGACAGTTCACAAAGTCTAAAGTACAGATACCTGTATGCCCGGGTTATGGTGTGCTGGGAGTGTGCTATTTATAGATCCCAGATCGAAGGATGGTAATCGGCTGAGCTGATCTGTGTCGATAGCTTTGGTGGATATGGGCGCCAGCGGACTGTGGCACAAACCACGTGAACAGAAGAAGAAAATGTCAATACTCATAGTAGCGCATATACATGTGCAGGGAAGTCTACGCAACACAGCATGCGTGCGTTTTTTCGGCGTGTGTGCGAAATAACGCGGGATGGAATAACACGTGGGGAAAAAACATCAGACTGTGATAGATGGATGAACATCTATTCGAGATACTAGACACAGGAACCTTGGCGATAAACGAAAATAACATAATATATATATATATATATATATGTATATATATATATATACATACATACATACATACATACATACATACATACATACATACATACATCCATATATATATACATACATACATACATACAT